GGGGGGGGCTTGTAAGCCCCCCTTTGTGATAGCAATTAAAGTAAAGTTTAAAAAAAACTGTTTTAAAAATAATATTAAATAAATTAAATGGAAAAATAATTGTAAAAATGTCCTATGAGCATGCACATCATTACGTAAACACGCGTCAGGTGCGCCTTTGTACAAAAACAATGATTGTGCTACACATGTTGGGTATCACCACATATGCCAGAGTGAAAGCAATAATTCTAGGGCCGATGTTGATGCGTATCTCTAAACTGATGACCTGTGGAGGCTTTTAAAGCGTCTATGGACTTTTTGGGGTACTGAATTCTGCAGTTTCACAGACGGACACAATTTATATCCTGGGCATGTTGGGTATCTATGTACTTGTTGTAACCTCATCTTTTATGTTTTATAAAACAAAATGGTTTTATATAGTGTTTTGGGGTACTACATTTAACTTTTTCATTACATTTTTGGGTTTAATAATAAGCTGTGCTAATGTTGTGCAACATAAAAATTTGCAACTGCCACTATTTTATTCTATAAGGTCTTGGCTTTTAGAAAATATATAATGTTTGGGGGGTTTTAAGTAATTTGCAGGCATACAATGTGGATTATAACATGGGTGCAAATAATGGAAAAAAAAGGCCTTAAGGGGGTTAATAACACTGCACCCCTCACTCTGTGCACTTGCTGTTCTCTGAGAAGAAGACACACAGGGTTATTCACAAAAGGGTGAAGAGTTTGGAGAAGGCAGGAGAAGTGAACAGTCTAGGACAGGGGTGCCCACAAGGTCGATTGCGATCTACCAGTCGATCGTGTAGCTGATCCCCAGCGGGGATCCGAGAAGAAGTGAAGGAACCGGCGGCGGGGGAGGGCGGAGGACGGAGCCGCTGTCACAGAACTAATGCAGAGCGGTGAGGAGAGAGAGAGAGAGACGCTCGGCCAGGATCTGACAGCCGGCGCCTCTCTCTCTCCTCACTGCTCGTCCGTTCTGTCACAGCGGCTCCGACCCCCCTCGCGGCTGAAGTGCTTTCACTTCTCGTCGGATCCCCCGCTGCCTTTGCCCGGGAGAGCAGGGGGGATGCAGAGGAGAAGCTGAGCCCATTTGTGCGTGGCCGAGCGGCAGAGGATCGGTACATGTCAGTAGCATGTACCAATCCTCTGTGCAGGGCAAACACTGGAGCGATCGTCTAGTACTATGTGTCCCCAGTTATAAATGAATGAACAGGATGTGATTTACATCACGTTCCGTTCATTCATGAGTTTCTCAATGGGGAGAAGCACTCTGTACAGAGGCTCCTCCCCATTCAGAAACTGCTTGATAGTAAATATTTTCTGAATGAATGGGAAGCCTCTGTTCTTTCCATTCATTTAGAATAGAGGCTGCAGAAAAAAAGATTGAGGACTGTGTGTCCTCAATTTCTTTTTCTATTTTAAAAGGGAAATATCAGGGGGCTTTTTAGACCCCTAATATTTCCCCGAAGCTCCCCCAAGAGTAAAAAAATAAAAATTACAAAAATTTAAAAAAAATAAATAATGAAAATAAAAAAAAAATAGTAAAAAATAAATTAAAAGAATGTTATTTTTTTTCTTGCCTCAGGCGCAAAAGGATCTGGCTACGGCTGTGCTCCTGTGGTGCTCGTGCGGCTGCCGGCTGAATGTGTCAGACGCTGCAGATGGAAAGGTGCAGGACACCCCATGTGCAACGTCGGCCACACGAGCACCACAGGAGGACAGGACGCCGGGACATGTAGGGCGCACTGGAATGTAAGCCGGCCGACTCCCTGCGTTCAGGTGCGGGAGGGGGTGTGGAGCTGTATTGCAGTCAATGGCATCGCCCACATTGCGATTGCCCACACATGGAACGCAGGCACATTAGTGTCTGCATTCCGGTCCAGTGCGATCTGCAAAAATACTGCTCACAGCATTTTTGCGAATCGCACTGGACTGGAACACAGGCACTAATGCAGGCGATCGCATTGTGGGCGAGGGGCCTGCCTGCGGAGCCTGGCTGCAGTGCCATTGACTTCAATGCACCGCCACGCCCCCTCCCGCCCCTGAATGCAGGTGTTTTTTCGTTGGTAGATCTCAATGAGCTCGTCATTTGAAAAGTAGATCTCCAGACGAAAAATAGTGGGCGCCCCTGGTCTAGGACAACAACATAGCTGAACTGGAAAGTGAGCTAAATTGGAGAATTTTTCCAAATCAGCTATTTTGGCCTAGATTGTTCACTTCTCCTGTCTTCTCCAAACTCTTCACCTTTTTCTGAATAATCCTGACAGGGTAAAGAGGTATTACAATGTGTATAAATAATTGCATACATCTAAAAAGTTAAATTGTTTTGTCCAAAAATGATTATATTTAAAGTAAATGAATATTGGCCCTGAAATTATTGTTCTCACTCTGGAGTGCGGGCCAATACCTAACATGTGTAGCACAATTATTGTTTCCATAGACGCATCGAACGCGTGTTTACATTCATATGCGCATGGTTGTGGGGGACTTAAAAAAATATTTTTTTATAAATTTACATTTTATTTAATTTTCTTTTTTTTTAAACTTTTTTTTTTACTTAACTTAATTGCTATCACATAAGGGGGCTTACAAGCCCCCTATCTGATAGCACATTGGAGGAGACAGTTTCTCTTTAAGGTAACATGAGGGGTCAATAGGTGTCCCTCCAAT